AGCATACTCGTGAAACTTTATTACATAATGATGCAATGTTTCAGATGAGTTCAAAGTGGCAGGCTCTCACGCAGACCTGAATTTCCATTTACAGAGTGGTAGGAGCCCTGAATGAGATTTTATCAACAATTGCAACTTTAATCCAGGAGTCTCTCTTTTCCCTTTGCTTTATTTGTTTTCCTTTGCCTTATTTTTTCCCCCTAAATAACTCACAGGCATCAGAAGACTTTTCCTGGGACCAAAATGAACATATAAAATCACTGAAAGACAGTGCTTTAAAAGTAATGAATAATTTATTGGAGGCAATTGTCTGTTTTTGTGTATGAATTATTCACTTTTTATGTTCAAGCACCGACAATCATTACTGCAAAATCATTCATGCATATTCTCACATCCCTTGCTGACTAATTTCCTCTGCTTATCTGGAAGGAAAAGGGCAAGCATTTAGACCTGCCACTGCAATAATGACATTTTTCTGTATTTTTAGAGCATGCTACAAAAAGCTGCTGTTCAAAATCATATGATGTACACACAAAATATGTGAATGTATAATGTTGTTGTATATATGTATATAAAAAAGAAGAGACTACCGTTTCTTTTTTCTTTATAGCCATTCATCTTTTACAGTACAAGTATAGAATAATTCAGTTTGTCAAGGACGAGGTTCCATATGGTCATGCACTGACTGTTAAACCATTGCCCTGTTTAACAACAAAACCCTACGGGATACATTTTCCACACTAAGTGCATAAAAATCCCAGTTTCCACCTATTTCTGGCCTAAGCTGCAATAAACATGTTTCTACGAGGACACATTAGGAGTTAGAGCACTTTGACACAGCCTGCCAGACAGCTGTCACCATGTACAACCTTTAATGGAGGGAAAAAATTATCCATTACCTTCACATTTAGTACAAAAACGTCAGGTAGCACTTGCGCAATGTCAAGGGGCCATTTTACAAAAAGTTGCTTTGGCCAACCAAAGACGTATGTGGACACTAATAAAAAGTAAAGTTACAAGTTTAAAAAAAAAAAATTAACAGACGCAATGAGCTCATTTGTTACAAATTTGTCTCTCAGAAGGTGTTTAAGTCTCACTGGGCCAGCCTTCAGCTGGAAACATGCAGCACTTTTCATTAGTCAGGAGTGTGAAGCAGCCTTTGGGTGTAGGGAGGGGAAGATGCCACTATGCAATAGTTGAATGATTGAGATAAATTAAATATTTTTTTCTTTGACAGCTAAGTATCTATCCTGAAACATTTTTTTTTCTTTGTGAGAGTTGCGCAAAGTATATTGCTGTTTGACAGTCAAAGAATCCTGGCACATCCACATTTAATTCCAATCTACAATAACATGATATAAAGTCAATCCACTTGGTGATAGGGGTCCAAGTGCCTTTTTCCCCCCTTGGCAAAGTTTATGATAGCTTTTAAGCCCCCCTGTGTTTCTTCAGGGAATGTAAGCTGTTCAAATGGCATTATAATTAAAAGTTCATACTTAAAACAGCAATTTAATATATTTTGCTGAATTAAATTAAAAAGTGTCAGGGGATGTTGTGATTGCCTCTGAGAGGGCCAGCGCTTAGCAGCCACCTTAAGACACACATGTATTTTCTGTATATAACACAAGTAATAGACTGTTTAGAAAAGAAAAAACTTTAAGCATGTGCCAGGTTAGAATTAGCCAGTAATGCTTAATGCTAACCTAGCTTAGTTAGGTTTATGTTAGCTTGTGTATTTGTCTAGGCTTTTGTTTTTGTTAGCAAAACAATGGTTATCAAGTGTAAAATCAATAATATATCTATATTTTCTCTGTCTGGTACCCTATAGTAGTATACGGCAACACACAGACGATTATATGTTATAGACTGTTTAGAAAATGAGAACTTTAATTATCTGCCAGTTTAGCATTAGCTAGTGCTAAATGCTAACTTAGCATCTTAGCTAGTATTTACTAGCATGCGTGTTTACTGTAGGCTTGTGTGTACAATACAACATATCCATATTTTTCTGTATTTTTTGGTCCTACAGTAGTATAGGGCAACACATGGACAATTGTACTGTTTTTGTTTTGTTTTGTTATACTTTTAGCAATGTAAACCTATTTCTGTTTCAAATCATGTTTGTCAAGTATTCTGACTAAATATTCTTATCATGAGTAGAGTTTCAATTGACCATAAGACAGTATACGATGATTTCCTTTTAACCATTAGTCAGCCCAGACTACCATGCGTGTCATTTACATTAGGTGTTCCAGCATAAATCCAAAATAAATGGAAACTTGTACACCCAAATCTTGTTTATTTTACATCCTTAAAGATGATTGCTGTACAATCATTACACCCTGGAAGAAGAACAGTTCAAAGAAAACTTTAAAACCCTCAAATTACCATGACATTCATGCCCATGATGAGTGGCTGTAAACCACAACTGTATACACATGAAAGCCTTACTTTGATGGTAGTGGTTAGGGCATTAGAGAAGAATAATATGTGCATGCATATATGTGGTGTGCAAGCACTAATATGGAGCTGTATTCTCTCTGTGAAACTCAGCACATTGTTTTCCAAGAGTGGTAATATATGACACACTGCTAATCTCATTGACAAACCACTAAGTAATCAAAAGTAAAGCCCTACCAATATATTAGCTGCTCGTAAATATTGGATTTTCCTGCTATTTGTCATTTTGTGGAAAGAAAGAATCGGGATGTTATTGTGAAACATAAATGAGATTCGTTTCATTAGTAAATGTATGAAGATAAAAGCTGAGCTGAGCTGCTCAGCTGTGATATCCTGTCGTGTCAGTCTGGACTTAGATATGATCTGCATTATAACTGCAATGCAATCAGTTATTTCTATAGAACATAATCTGTAAAAGAAGAACAAGTTTTGCATTGTACATCAGCTGGCTACACCCATAGCAATCCTTCCAAAGCTCTTATTGCCAAGCTGGTGTTTGTGTGTCCTGGCACCTCCACCTTTTCTAATCCTCGCGCCCCCCTTCCCCTGAGTTCATCCTCTGTTTCTCTCTGCTGCACTGTCGCCATTTCTCCGGCTTCCTCTGTAATGAATAGTTTTAACCAAAATGTTCAGAAGTCAAAAATAGGATATTCAAGTACTCCAGAGTTACTGTTAGGGTACTTTATATCATCAGGGGTGACTCCACGATTTATGTCTTATGTAGACTTTTGCTAACAATTTTATTTATAATAATACTAATAGATTGCATTTATATAGCACTTTTCGAGACCCTCAAAGCGCTTTACAATTCCACTATTCATTCACTCTCACATTCACACACTGGTGCAGGCAAACCACAGTTGTAGCCACAGTTGCCCTGGGGCAGACTGACAGAAGCGAGGCTGCCATATCGTGCCATCAGCCCCTCTGGCCATCAAAAAAAAAAAAAAAAAAAAAGCAACAGCGCTATTTCAGAAATACCATCTACCTCTGCCCTTGAACTTGAGGTCAAGGTCACTGAGATTCAAATTTGTCAGAGATTTTTAGTAGATATGCCTATGGCAGGGGTGGCCAACTCCAGGCCTCAAGAGCCGGTGTCCTGCAGGCTTTAGATAACACCCTGGGTCAACACACCAGAATCAAATGATTAGTTCATTACCAGGCATCTGGAGAACTTCAAGAAATGTTGAGGGGGTAATTTAGCCATTTAAATCAGCTGTGATGGATCAAGGACACATTTAAATCCTGCAGGACACTGGCTCTGGAGGCCTGGAGTTGGCCATCCCTGCCCAATGGTATCAATGAAACTCCTTCGTCATGGACAAGCTTGGGTCATCGCACCACCTGCCCGGCAGGTTGACGACAATACTCCATCAGCCTTTTATATCAAATTATTGACATTTGTCAAAGCCCTCAGTGAGGCTATAGTGAAACAGACCTCTCTTCCATTTCATGACATACAGATACCTGATCATGCCCCTTTACATTACATTTAAATGCACTGGACATCGTAGGCACAGTCATGATAAATGTTATGAAAGAGCATATGAATCTTTCACCACAGCTTCTGACAAAATATTAGTGTGAGTGAGTTGTAACCTGTTAGTCCATGTAGATTTCAAATAACTATAACAACTTAGGACTTACTAAGAATTCATTATTCATGATTTCTGATGTTTTACCAGCTTTCTAACTTTTCCGTATAAGATGTTATCTCCGTGCCTAAGAAATAAGAATACTAGTCTGCATGTCACATCAGCATACAGAGCTCTGTCAATGCAATCAGTGAAGAGTAAAATGTCCAATACACACATTGCGACAACAGTAAAACAAAGCAGTTATGTTAATGATATCTGTGAGTCAGACATGACGCCTGTCAGGTCCATTTAGTTGACGACTTTTTTAAGATGTTTGGTTTGGCAATTTTGATTTGGCTCTTAGATTGTTTATTGGTACATTTCAGTCCCTATGAAAAGTTTTGTGACAACACCCACACACCCACAATCTCAGTACTACTGATAAATAGTTTCCTTCCCACGCCGACTGTGAGCCAACAATAATGACTGAGATGATTGTGAACAATTACCTGTCAGCGTTTTGGGAAAACGATTGCTTAATATTGATTTGCTTTATTCTACTTAGAAAGCTCCTTTTATCAGCTGTGTTGTCTGTAAAATTGTGCTCTTCCCATTGGTGTTTGTAGTCCAAAATGATGGCAGTGCTAATATAGATGAATCAAGCAACAGTTATCAAAAAAGCGCCACAGTTTTGATGTTGTGCATACCAGCAAGTAGGAATTCTGAGAACATGAATAGACGTGTTCAGCGCTATCTGCAATCACATAACTCAGTCTTTCCTGTTATAGAAAACCCCAACAAAGCCACCAACTCTAAAGCATGCAATGACTCTCATTTTGCTGATGCCTAATTGCCAGAAATGACCAAAGCACAAAGCTGTACTTAGCAAATTTTATAGCACGTCTTGTCTTGTTCTCTTATCAGTTAAAATTTTAGGAATGTTAGAGAAAAAGCTGCTCCTACCTCACAAACTGCTGTTATGAGCTCGTAGTGATGCCGTGTGCGTGAGCATGAAGCTCTCAGTGCACTGCTGACTGCTGGCAGATGGCGATCTACGCGGTGAACGTTGAAAACGACTCCTCCTGTTGAAGTAGTTGCCAGTTGTCCACAAGCGCTTGTTCTTCCTCAGATACTCCTTGTAGTTCTTGGTGAGCAATGTGTAGAGGAACGGGTTGATGCAGCTGTTGGAGTACGTCAAGCATGTGGTCAGGTAGTTGATGTTACGTTTGGCTTTGGTGGAGAGAGGCAACGAGGGGTGAAACTGACCCAGTAGTTGCCAGATCCAGAAGGGCAGGAAGCATGCCCAGAAGAGGAGCACGATTGTAAAGATCAAGTAGAGCACCTTCAAGGACATAAGAGCACAAAGAGATGCCATCAGAGAGACTCAGATTTCAATTGGTGGGACACCTGATATTGGGATGTAAAATGCCAAGCTAATGTTAATGCATACATGCCAACCCTCCCGAATCCCGAATTTCAGTGCCCTCCCAAAAATCTCCCGGAGCCACCATTCTCCCAAATTTCTCCCGATTTTTCACCCGGACAACAAAATTGAAAAACCATATCCCAGAATTCAAAGCACGGCCCAGCCAATTCCAGTTTCCAACAATGGCGGCAGCTACTTATTTTTACTATTACTCTTATTACTCTTTCTGGGTCGCAAAATAAACTTTTAACATATTTTCAGGCGAGAATGTAGCTGTGTACACTTCAAATATTTGAGCCAGCGAGAACAGCAAACCCCCGCGGTCTTTCACTATTCAGGTTAAACATGATAAGTCATTTAGATAACTTAAAAATGTTATTGTTCGTGAGTAAATCGGTTTGGCTGAGATTAAAGTTATTAGATTACATTAGATTAGATTAAATAAAACTTTATTAATCCCTCAGGAGAATTCGTCCGGGGTTTTCACACAACTCAATAAACGTCAAACAGAAAACTGATTAAACAGAAATGTGAGACGGTCGAGAATTTACGCCAGCATCCGGTTATATTTTAGATAGCAAGGAGCAGACGGCTGAGTTTCACTCCACCTAGAGATCTCGTGGCGTAATTCTGACCGTCCAGTTTCACAGTCGCTCACTTCCAGCCTACCTGGCTTTCCGAGGACCCGGCTCACTTAGACCGCGAAGGCCGGGTCCTCAGGTGGACGCAGCCTCTGAATTTGGACACCCCCGCTGTTTCCGACCAGACAATAATAACGGTAACATTTAACTTATTATATCCGATAAATAAACATTGTAAAATTCAAGTTTTTTTGTACATACACACACACACACACACACACACACACATATTATATATATATATATATTATATATATATATATACACACACACATACACCACATATATATCTATATCTATATATATATATATATATATATATATATATATATATATATATATATATATATATATATTAGGGGTGCAACGATATTCGTATCGATATTGAACCGTTCGATACAGTGCTTTCGGTTCGGTACGCATATGTATCGAACAATACAACATTTGTAATTTATTTTATCAACTTTCCTTCTGACGATGCTGTCTGTGTTGAGCGCTCAGTGAATCTGCGTTCGACTACTCCGCCTAGGCTGCACTGTCGAGCGCAGATCCACTGAGCGCTCAACACAGACAGCATAGTCAGAAGGAAGAGCGCAGGGCAAGCTAGCAAGACAGAAGTTAAGCTCTCCTTGCAACATGGACCTCCCCCACCCTCATTCAGATCTGGCGTTTGGAATTATTTTGGTTTTCATGTGACGTATGACCCTGAAGGTAAGCGAGTCATGGACTAAAGTAAAACAGTATGTTGGATGTGCCATGCAATGCTCAATTACATGGGTGGGAACTAGTGTGTTAGCGCAGTTAGCTCGTTAACGTGTTGGCCGTCTAGCCCCATGCACGGAGCGATCGGCGGTAGCTCGTTAACGGAGATTTGCCGTGTTGTGGCGTTAAGGTCATTTCAACGAGATTAACCTGAAAGCACTAGTGGGAACACAACGAATATGACTGCACATTTACGCCGACATCATCCTAGTGCAAAGACAAAAACAACAAGCATGCTACTAACTTTAGCCGAGTCATTTAGACAGCTGTTAGCACATGATTCTCCTTATGCTGCTGAGAATATAGCCCAGAAGAAGCGGATAGTATAGCTTTTATTTTGGAAAGAGACATTTCTCTGTAATAAACTCTCTTTTCCAAAGATGAGTGATTCCTCAATCAGATACAGGGCTTGCAATATCGCTAGCCCGACGTCCCGGAGCTAGCGATTTTTTCAGTCGGGCTACCAAAATCTATCTCTTCCCTGCCCGTCGGGCTATTGTAGGAAAAATATATGTCAATGCTTTTGCATTCTTTCAGAAATGTAGCTGGGTAATTATGTCATTGGCATCGGTGAGCCACTGTCAATATGTGACATATTGAAATCGCGTTTGAATTTGCGCTTGTTTTTTTGCTTTCACTTTGCAATCGTGCGAACTGTGTATAGAGAGCGACAGTACTGATCTGTGAGTGATGATAATTTGTGCACCAATTCCTCTGACATCGTCTTATTAATCGTTAGCTTACTATGCAAACATGACAAGTGAAATCTCCCGCAGCAAGCTTAAACATGTGAGAGGTTGATCGCGCAGAGAATCGCTGAGCTTATGTGAGTGCGTGTGTAAAAGCAGCAGGATATATATTTTAGTTCTGCTGAGCCAAATAAGACAGGTCAGGGTGAAGAAGTGACAGCCAAAGAAAAGCTTACCACAAAACGGAGAAGTTATGACAAATCAGACTATAAGGCAAAAAGAAAGTGCAGCTTTATGGTTTCATGGACAAAAGAATTTCTGTGGCTGCAATATGACGAGCTAAATAACCAGGGCTGCACATAAGTGGTCCGCAGGTGCGCATTCGCTGTCAAAATAAAAAACACGCACAAGGGTTAGGGTTAAATTTAAAAACTGTACTTTTGAGTTAAAATATATATTTATAATTTTAATAAATGACAAATTAAAAAGGCATGAACATTTTTTTGTATCGAAAAAATATCGAACCGTGACACCAAAGTATCGAACCGAACCGTGAATTTTGTGTATCGTTGCACCCCTAATATATATATATATATATAAGTATATATGTTAACCCCCCCGGATGGGTGGGTGGATGGATGGATGGATGGATGGCAAACATAATGGGCAATACAATGTGCAGACTTAAAGTCTTCCACACCAACTTGACAAACATCACAATAACGTGCTATAGCAACATATATTACACTAACTTTGATTTGCTGTAAAATAGTAGCAAGACCATAGTAATCTATTAGTACTGTTCATAACCAAACATCTGCTTCTTTAATGTGATGCCTTATGTGGTGCTGCTAGGTCAAAAGACTTCGGGTAAATATCACTATATCATGGCTATTTTGTAGAAGGTCTACCGCACTAAGAAAAAAGACATTTCAGTCATATCACTTTAGCCAAGTGATATGACTTAACCCAAACCCTACAAAACCCCTATATTTTGGAGAAAGGCAAAACCAGCTTTTGTGGATAGAGTGTAAATAGTTTTTGAGTTGTATCAGTTATCAGAATGATTTGTTCCCTAAGTGATAAGACTTTGGAGGACAATTTAATAAAAATTACATATTTTGATTGGGTTAAAGGTCATTATTAATGATGAGTTAGTCGTCAGAGGGTAAATAAGCTACCAACCCATTTCTGGTTATAGGTATGGTTAGGATTATGTTAACATAAGTCAGATTATGATTTTCACCTATTTGGCATACTTAAACAAAAAACGTATTACAGAAAGGGAAAACGCATGCATAAGATGTTTTGGCGACTCAAATTATTCGTGCACTGTAATATCAGTGACCAGTAAATCTGGTTGGCCCCAGATCTTTAATAGTGTCCCTACACAGTAACTCGTCTAAGGTATTGTATGGAAGCCAATGTTAACTCATTAATCCTTTCAGTAACTTCCTATAGACTTTGGTTGTGTTGTGTTTCTTGTACTCTTGTGTGACTTTAGCAACTATTGCAAACTATTTCCCTGTGGGGAATACTGACGTAATTTTCTCTCATTTCTTGGTGCAGCATGAGAACAGCAAGAGATTCACAGTGAAGCACAGCCCTGGTAGGGAAGGAGAGAATTGTTAGGATATCAAATAGTAGCAATTTTAAAGGTAGGGCAGTCTATATTTTCCCTTGCGCTTCAAGATTCTCACCCTTAAATGCAAGTGATGGGTTACATTTAAGCGTGTCGGGAGAGAATAAAACCATCTTAAGCCCTGCTATGAAACAAAATGGAATGTGCATCAGACAAACACTGCATAAAGTACTTCTTGTTTATTAGTGGAATATCTATGGAAGTTTGTACAGCATCTCTGTGTCTAACTTCAAACATATTCATTAGGTTGGTGTTGATGGATGTGTTCATCTCCTGCTGAGCTGAAAACTGGGAAAGATGCAAGAGATGAGGTCGAAGTTGATGCAGCTCACCAAAAAAGGAGAACTGAGATCGAGTTGGAGAGTCTGTGTGAAAACAACTGAAGAATTTTTAAGATATTATGTGATGCTCTCTTATTGACATAGTTGTTTCAGAGTATTGTACATAGCTTGGCCTAAGAGTACGATTTATTTTTTCCATTCCAGCTTTTATATATGAGGATGTGCTTGGCTGAAAAAATAATGAGCAGATAAATCTAGAACATTATAATTATCTGTAGACTAATAAAGAGTTTATCTAATAATAATCATTTGATACAAATAGTGTAGTAGTCGCACGTGCCATTTCTCTGTGGTTTTTGTTCTCAAACTAAAGTTGTGTAATTATTATAACATATTCTTAGTTATGTAACATACTAATACAGGATCTTTAATAGTAATGGAGTCACTAGCAGACTAGCAGACGGCAGGAAGATTTTTATCTCATTGTTATCAGTCTCACCAAGCAACCTCTTGCAACCACTTGGCAACCAGTCAGTCATGACATTGACTTTTCTCTAACAACCGGTGGTTACCAGGCAGTCACCAACCAGTCTCTAAACCTGTGTGACAAGGGCTTTAAATCTCTGGGAAACACTGTATTGCCCTTTTGTTTCCAGGAAGAAATGTGGGTTTGAATAGAATTGGCATAGATAGCTGAGTAGTGGCATTTAAATATTCAATCCACACAAAAGGATTTGATAAGTGGTAAGACAGTAAGTGCAATGATAAAGCAAAATAGTCACATTAATTTGTGCTTAACTTACCTTTTGATTTGGTAATTTTTTGGTCTGCTTGAATGTCTCTGTCTGTGAAATCCAATAAGTGCGTGCAAGCTGGATGTAAAGATAGCCAATAATCAGTCCTGGAGCGACAATGCTAGTGCAAAACAGGAAGGAGATGTAAATCTTGTAGGAGAGCGGTGACAAAGTGGACTGACACATAGGCTTGGTGCCCACTGCCATCAGTTGAATTCTCACGATCATCGGTAGGGTGAGGATTAGAGAAGCTACCCAGACAAGTAGGGCAATAGCTTTCCGATAACTTTTCGATCGTTTCACTGTGTCGAGTGGCTTGAGCACTGCAAAGTAGCGTTCTGTACTCATGATTGTCAGAGTAAAGATGCTTGCGTGCATAGTCAGGAAGTCCATGCTTATCAGAATCCGACACCCTGCATCTCCAAAGTACCATCCCTTCAGGAAGTGTGTGCAGACTACGAAGGGGATGGTGAGAAGATACAGCAGATCTGCTAAAGCTAAGTTTATGATGTAGATGTACATGGAGGCTGCAGACCTCATGGAGTGGCACATCACCACCAGGGTGTAGATGTTCCCGGAGACTCCAATGAGACACATGATGGAGAGGATGGTTCCAATGGTAAAGGTGGCGGCTGTATCTTCAAGTGAGTTCAGAGGAGGGTCAGTTGCATTGCCGCCCCTTTCCACCAGGACTCCCACAGGCTCCATGGACACTGTTGTCATGTCTGGATGCAAGAGAAATGTATGGGAACAGGGAAATGATATATTAGCTCTCCAATATAGCCAATGCATGGAAGCTATTTTAATGAAGTGGATCTTTTGGGGATTTATAAACAGATTGCTAAAGTGTTAAAAAGACTATACTGGCATATTTTCTGCAAGCTATCATCTCCATTTTGAAAAAACACGCCAATAGGTAGAGATCTAAACCATCTCTCACTCTGAGTCTCTGACTCATTGCATATTTACAGAGGTGGAGACCAAAAAGTGTCAAAACTGCTAAACAAAAGGTTAAATTTCTGTCTGACTAAAGTTTAATCTGATTAATAAAAATTACCACAGCAGTGTTTTAGTAAGACCAAGTTGGTCAAGAAGTGAGGCGTTATCCTAAGTTTTGATACTGTAGTACTAATGTTTAGATTCAGTCTGCACACTGTGACTCAAATGATGCAGAAAATCTGACACTGAAATAATCTTTGATGGAAATTTGCGCTCTTGTTATTGAGTGTTATCTGTCTGATTAACATTAGCACAATATTAATCTCTGGTGACAAAAATGTGTCATAATTCTCTGCAAGTTTTTAAATGGGAAGAAGTTCGTTTTTATATCATGCACTAACAAATATGTAGCCTATGGTCTTATATGTTATTCTTTGAATAAGTTATGACTCCGTGTTATGAATCAGAATTATGACTTATGTGCTGAACTTAAAGTAAACATACTGTGAGTTTCTAACTTGGTCAGTTGGTTACACATTGAGGTCTAGGCTGGAACCATGAATCTTAGTTTCTAAAGAAAATTTTGCTTATTCCCATTTGATTACCGCACAACTTAAGAAAAAGAGTCTCATGAACATTGCACAACTGAAAAATGATCCAAGTCATTTCTCAGAAGTAAGACTAAAGCTAAATGTATCAGAGTTGATCCAGTTGTTGCACTGATGTCTTTACTGAGTCATAGACATCTTCTTGTCAAGATTAATGCTCACCTGTCAAAATTCAGACAGAAATCACTAAGATGTAATTTCTCCGTTGTGACTTAAGTAGTACCAAAAAGCACCAGGGGCAGAGATAAAGTCAGGCTGGACTTATATTACATTTTAGCCTTCAGTAATAGAATTTCCTGGCAAGCTCAGAAAAGAACAGCAGTTCCTACTACATGCATGTAAATGCACAATTACAAATCTATTTGGGAAATAAAGTGAACTGGCTGACTTACCTGGGCTGCCTTACTGGACAGAAGAGGTTCAACACTCAGCTGTGGTTCCACTGGCCATGCTCTGTCAAACTTCACACTTGCTGGACAAATTTCACACTCCATAAAAGTCCCCACAGAGTGTAGAAAGGAAACCCACAGGTGGAGCAAAGGAAAATAAATTTATATCCAGGAGTCCTGAAGGAGGAAAATGACCTAAATGAGTCATCGACTACAACAAAAACCCTTCCACTGTTGACTCGTCTCTCGACAGCAAATCAACCAATCTAACGTGTCTTGATTCAAGAGAAAGTGCATTCATAGCAGCCTTAAAAGTTCTCTCCTATTCCCTTCACTCTTTGTGCACCTTAGCAGCATCCACGTACAGGATGTCAGCATCGGCAGAATCGGAAGAGAGAGAAAGAGAGAGAGAGAAAGGGGGGGAAGAAAGCATCAGTGAAACAATCACAGAAGTGAGAATCACGTTCAGCTACAGCTGGCTATGGAGAATCCTCTGTTTGACTGAGAGAGAGAGAGTTATAGAGAGAGTGTGAGTATCAGAGGTAGAGAGGGCTGAGCAAAAGCAGGGAGAAAGGGAGGGAGGGAAACAGAGCTATCAGTGAGGTACTCTCGCTGAGAAGCCTGAAAGTGGGAGGGAGAAGACGCAGAGAACGGACAGCAGAGAGGTATGCAGGAAATGCATTCTGCTCTCTCTCCTTCTCTCTTTCACTCTGTAACCCCTGTGCCCTCTATTTCCATGTGACAGGGGCGTGTGCAACAAACTGATATGCAATAACAGGACTTGAGACACACTCGCATGACAGCCTCACAGACACACAAAAAACATGCAGTAAATAAAAGATATATAGCAATGGCAATTTGTTAGATTGTGTTTGTTATTTTAACTAAATGGTTACAGAGTCAGCGTCAACTACCACTGCAGCAATTTGCCTCAGACTGCTGCAGAGAAGCTGATATAAATTAAACAGTGTTGTTGGCTTTCTGTCACTGCTACATGCTGAATATGGACTACATGTTAATACAACTGCATGTCAGGTCAAAGACGCGTAGTTCCCCCTTTTTACCTAGAAGAGCAATTGTAAAATTACAGTGTATAAAATTTTACCACTAGGTGTCAGTAAATTGCAGTCAGCTGAATTTACCCCCACTATTTAGCCTGTGTAATTGACTATGTGCACGTTAGCATATGCTACTTCCGGTGCGGAAACTTCTGTGAGGAGCTTTGTTTCCGGTGTCCTATTCACGCCCTGTTTACGGTCCAAAACAAGTTAAGCAAATGAATGAATCAAGCGGCGATTTACATTTCTATAGATGTCTTGGGCATTTACCCAGTATATCTGTAAATGATGTTCATCGACTTGTTGATATTTTTCCCCCGAGCCTCAGAGCACAAGAGAAAAGGGATTCAAATGTTATATTTCTCAGCTGTCGCTCTTTTATCGCGGGTGTTATGTTCTAAAAATAACCAGCGATAGGTGAAATCAAGTAGCCAATTGTATTTTTTGACGGTGCAAAACGTTTGGTGGACATCGTGGACATACAGTACTGCACTTCAGAGTCACACTGCTAGCGATCGATGCAGTGATTCTGTACTGTACAGGAGAGACGTCACGGAGGAGATCGTCTGCAGCGATCAGGACGCAGGACACAATGTGACATAAAAAAACGTGCAAACTTGCACTAAAAAAATCTGCGAAACAGCGAGGTGAAAGGTGAACCGCGTTAATACCGAGGGACCACTGTAATTTTGAAGGTAAGTCACAATATATCCTTCGTAAATACTAATGTATAGAAACCCGTACCATTCATTTTTTGTGTGGCTTTTTTCACGGTTTGTTAACATGCTGTGTAGGTGTGTACTTGACTAGCTGATATCGACATAACGGGGAAAGATCTGGTTTGACTATTCTTCAACTGTAGTTTGAATGCTGAACATTTGCCTGTTTAAATCATAATAGTTGTCACTATACAGAGATGTGCTTCTGAATGTGGACGATGTGTCTTCTGCTGCAGTAATGCAGTTCTGCTTGTGTTGAGTGATGTAAACAACTGATCGATCTAAACTCTTTAAATGTCAAAATTGATCATTAGATTTTTTATGGCACAACAGTGGTGAGTGTTCCCACCTTCTGCTCTTTGTAACTTACCGTGATCTTTCCGTTTTCGAGTTTTGGACATGATTTTGGAGTATATCTTTGCAGTAACGATTGACCACAAAGTAAAGCTACCGGAAATGTACAACCCCACATCCGGTCTCAAACCAGGAAGTTAGCATTTTCTCGTGCACAGGGTCAATACTAGCTACGGTGACCACTGCAGGACAAAAAAGGTCTGGCTGCCATTCATCTGTAGTGAGTGCTTGCTGTTAGTTAGCCGTTTATCTTAGATGTCAGTATACTGGTTATCCTCGTCTATTTTCTGTAGGGAAGACAGTAAAACTTTGTGAAAAGAGTCTGATATGAATCAACGACTTAGTGAACCTCTCTTTTGTCTGATGATAGTGATACTGATGAAAGTTGTTGAGGATATCCTGAACTTTTGTCTTAGTAAGCGTTGTCAGGCGATAGCTGCTGTTAGCCTCCGTTAGCTACCGTTAGCTGGCACTGGCGAAACTGTCTTTGAACATTGTTGGACTTTTACTCTTAGCTAATAAACTTTCATAAGATGTGAGAATGTTATAAAAGTGTTTATCAGAGGGGAAGTGTGATTATTAGACTAGAGCCTAACATTAGCTGGCAATATTTTAGCTTATAACCATCTGTTGCTGAGGTGAGGAGGTGGAAAAGAGGAAGAAGAGTGAACAATGGAGGAGGCATAGAAAAAGATAATAAGAAAGAAACAATGAAAATATCCACGTACAAATAAAGAGCTCTTTATGATCTTTAAATTAAAAGTAACTGATAAGGCGCACATTTATTTACAACAATAAATAAAATATATTGTACCTTATAATATAAAGTGCCTTGAGGTTACTGCTGTTATAATTCTGCACTAGATGGATAACATTTAATTAAAGCACAACCGTGTATTTTTTCTATTAAATACCCACCACCCAAAAGTACTTGCTGTAGCTTTAAATAAAGCAGTAGCAGATAAAAAGCTTTTATCCAATGAAAGAGAAACAGGATGCAGGTCAGAGTAGAAGACAGATGTTTAATGTGCTTACTAAACAACTTTTATTGAAAGGAATGCGGCACAATCTTTAAATGAAACAGCTCTATTACGATTATTGTAATAGGTCCATGGGGGACGTGCAAAATGATCCACAGGCAGAGGTTAATGATCATATTGGACAGAAGTCAAAAGACAAGTGCTGGCACATGCACATTATCCATAACATGTATTAGCAAGTGGATACGTCAGTAGGGTAGAGTAATACTTCAGCTAAGGAGTTTTTGTCTGCAGAGTATTAGGCCAACTCCCATTACAGCCGTGTACTCTATATTGTCTGTTCTTGGTGTTGTCTTACACTCTAAATATTAACTTCAGTTTGTCACAAATGCCTGACAAGTCTTTTTTTAACCTGCGCATGTTTAATGGAATGTGACAGCTTAATAGTTCTTCTCTTAGAGGTGTGACACCATGAGTGCAGTGGGTTACTACCAAACAGATCTTCCATTTGATGCTATTCAGGCTTTTTCCAACTTAATCTGTGTTATGTCTGGTGCCACTGACGCCTGCTCTATTCCAGAATATATACATGGAATTGTGCGGAGGGCCCATAAACAGCAGGATGATAATATGAACACTGTTTTGTAGTAGAAAACAATTTAGGCTAATGCGAGTGTAACCCCCACCACTTTCTGTTTGCTGTTTCCCACTTATCTGATCGGAGTTGGGCTCCAGGCAGGCTGATTTTTCACAGAGATGGACATTCAGACAGGCTCTCACATTTATAGCGGTTACCTTCTGACCTCAAAGGTTGGAACTCCATTTATCACAGTACAGCCTCTCTTCACTGCGAGTCAATGTACACAGACACTCTAGCTAGATGATAAACTGTTTTCAACTAGCAGCCATGAAGTATTCATGAAACTTCAGCAAATGCATGCTGGCAACAGAGGTGAAATGACAAGTGGCTGCTATAAAAGAACACTTAGGAGGCTCAAAAGAGACAGAAATCTTTTTGACAGTGTGCATTTGCTTTTTGGATGGAAATGAATGTTAAAGAATTGCTATCAAAATTGAGCAGGTATAACCGGATGCATGCGCATCAGTTAAAAAAGGCAAGCGACCTCTCCAAAGCACTCTGCACAAACAATAGAAAATAAATTATCAGGTGTTATGCAATCCCCTGCTCTGGGGGAGTGAGTGTGTGAAATGGCCCTGGAGTTCATAATGTCTGTCTGTGGGGTCTTATCTCGACCTGGGTGACATTGCTTCTGCATGATGTGTGTGAGAATGTTTAGACATCACCCTCACCAAAAAGCTATATGGAAAAAGGGGTTAATAGAGCTGTGATGAGCAGCTATTACATCCAGATTAAGACTGCCCATGAGAAGTGATTGCATGGTAAATTATGCAGTGCAACTGCCTGTTGCAGATTGCTGCAGTCATGAGATTTTAAAGGATGACACTCACATCCGTGTCATTACCCGCTACACGCTCACACACAGGAAGGGCCAATTGAGACTAGACTAGTAACAAAAACAGAGTAATCAGGCCGTACACAAAGATAGATTGTTATCCCCATCAAACTGGCAGCTCTGTTGCATATGTGTTCACACATTAGCGTGCTTACCCTCATTCACCATGCTAAATGCCAGGCCAGTCGATAAGGTGTAGCTATATCAGTCAGAGGCTCAGAAAATTACACACTTTAACCTATTATCTTTAATCTGAGCTAAATTGCAATCTGATAGAGTAAATGAATGCATCTGCAGTCACATTCATAATTCCATGACCGTGTGTGTGTGTGTGTAATGTCAGGTGTGCATGTTGTGTCCACTATTTGACGCCGATTGTATGAGCACATAGGATGCATAATGTGTCCTCATTGTGAAGACGTTGTGCTCTTCATCCTTTCATTTTCAGTACAAATGAAGTTTTCTAATGTAGCAGACAGAGAGGAAGACAGGAATGCAACTGGTAGAAGAATAGAGGAATGCAAATACAACGATGTGCACGATGAATAAACATCAAAGAAGTGTTCATACCCAGTCAGACAAAATTCCTAAAAAATAAAAGCGAGGACAATATGAGGATGATTCCAGCTTATTTGTACCTGACACAATTTGGCTATTAATGTGGATGTTGTTGCTCTATGGCTCATGCTAAGTCTGTACTTTCTACATCAAATGTAGAAATACAAGGAAACAAATATTAATGAATAAAAATGGGCTGCAGATACACGTGGTCATTCTAACTGGCTAATTTGTGTCAGACCCAGGTTTTCCAGTTTGGTGACTTTGCATGAATGATATGGTCATTCTGGCATCACCGACTCGTGAAGTCCAGCTCATAGTGGAGCCAAAGCAGGAGAGTTGAGATGTCTCATGCTCACTACTAGTAGCATGAGACAATACCCTGACCCTAAAGAGGTTAAACAGGTCGTATGACTTCTCTAGGATCAATATTTACCATTACCAGAAGGTTTACTGTGTCTCCCAGCACACTCTC